TTAAGTGAGTTTTGGTGACCTGTCAAGAGCTGTACGCATATAATGTTTCAGAAGATATCATTTTAATAAATTATAAATAAAAAATCAGATACTAAAAATCAAACCTACTGTAACATGTTTAATTTTATTTCTAAAAGTAATTTTTGATTCATGCTTTTATTAGTAGTGTATATAGAAGCAATTGGCTGGACGTGTGGTAGCTGGCGCACATCCCTGCCTCTGCTGCCACTTCCCTGTGCCATGTGCTGCCCAAAGTGACACAGCAGGGGCAGGAAGAGCCAATCAGTATCTGAGTGGCTACAGCAGGAGCAGCACTGCTAGGAAGCTGGGCCCGGGCTGGGGCTGGTGGGGCTTAGCCCCCTGTGGAGTACCTTGGGGGCAGCTGTGGACCAGATACAACCAATTGGCAGGCTGCCTCCAGCCCATGGGCTATATTTTGCCCTTCCTGGATCTATGGATATAAGAAGCTTTGATGCATTGATTGTCCTGCCTTCCACTAAAACAAAGAATTTTTAAGGGAATATCATTTCTTACAATAAAGGGCCATGATGTTTCTGTATCTGGAGACAGGCTGAAGTGCTATTTCATTCAGAGGCCGAGTGGTGACTTCTAAACGTCTGGTAGACAACCTCATCATAGTGCTTTATTTCTGAGAGGCTCCTCCAGAGTTCAACCGATTGTAGGGTAAAGAAACAGGGCCTATCAGTGCCTAATTAGAGCTACTGATAAATGTAAACGTTTGGAATTCAGGTTTGAGTTGAACGAGGCCTCAGATATTTGTGTAGATATAGATGATACACAACTGGTAAGCAGAACTAAGCAAATATCATATTTACTCACATAGCACACTCCTTCAAATAAGGCGCACACCTTTTTAAAAAAAAAATCGGAACGTAGGGAAAAAAACTATTTCCTTTTAACCAAACTGTGCAGGATCAGTTTTCTTGTTTGGCGTGCACTCTGATTTTCAATTGCTAATTTTTAAAGAAAAAGGTGACTGGTACATGAATAATAAGGGAGATCATAATCAATATATGTTACTTTTTTTCTTTTGATTAACATCCAAAAATATTGCAGTTTTCTTATCTTAGATTGTTCATTGCAATTTTCATGTATTTAATTGTGCTTTTTAAAAAAACTCAATTAACTGGAGAGATCTTTGTGAATGAATGAGATTAAACAGTGCTGTTCATCAGTCTGTGATTGTTCAGACAAGCCACTTTTCTCCTCCACCTGATGCAAAGAAGCATTTCTGGCGCAGCAAAATGCACGTTGCATTCGTATTCACTACCAATGGACCTCTGTGACAAAACAGAGTTGTTTAGATGTTCACAGTAATTAGATATGAAAGGATTACAAAGCAACACCAATTTGAAGTCCCTTAAAATTCTAGATAAATATTGTCTTCATTTCTTTTTCCACTTTGCTCATCCAACTGTGAACACGAGTCTGCAATATTTAGCAGGGAATCCCACGAATTATAGGGGTGCATGTGTGATACCTTGCAGTTTTTAAGCCTTGTCATGGTCAAACCTGGGAGTGCAAAGACCTGTGCCAAAACAAAACAAAATGAGACAAAAAATAATTTCAGAAGTATAAAAAGCTTTCATGCTGACATTTGGTTCTTGAAACAGGCAGAAGCTACTACCAATTCACTGTTATATGTTTCCAAAACACTTTGTCCCACCTTTGTTAGCATCTGTATTGTTGCTAATCTGAGAAATCCTTTCCAAAGCTGTCACTAGGTGTTCAATTTTGACAGTGTCTATGTGCTGTCAGACCTCAAAAGCTTCATAGAAAGTTGGTAATCTCCAGGTATCCATTTTGTTTTTTAGATATTCATTAGGACAGGGGTTGGCACCCTTTTGCTGGCATGGGTCATTCCAACCCAACCCTGATCATAAGCCACAAATCTCTGTCCCCAGTGTGGCCAGCTGCCTGCACTTACCCTCACTGAAGGTCCCCATCCCCTCTGCAGCAAAAGTAAGTGCTGATGCACCAGAACAGCTGGCTCTACAGCAGGGTGAAGCACTGAGGGGATAGATGTCATGGTGTGGCTTTGGGCTATTAATTTCCTTCATGCCGGACTGGATATCCTTGCAGGTGGGTGTGGGCAGGGGCAGAGGTAGAGGGAGTGCAGGGTGTGGAGGAGTGGTTCATGAATGATTTCCATTTTAGGTGAGCACTGATTGTATTTTCAGAAAGGGTTTTGTAGATCCCAGTAAAATTTAAAATATACATTGTATTTCACTTGGGTGCATAGATGTAGCACAGTAATTTCTTTTTCATGTTTAGAAAATGCCACAACAAATTCAAATACTGTGAAACAGTAAACAGGGATCTTCAGTAGCAACCTCTGGTGTATATATGTATGTTTTATACATAATAGTTTGACAGTGTCAGTGATGCTCCATGGTGAAGCATTTCAGATATTTTTGTGGTCAGATCACTGATGTTGTTGGGTGATGTCTCACAAGGTCTCCAATGGTTTAGGACACACATTGTACAAGTTTGAGAGTTTCATATTTAATAATTCCTGATCTGCATGTTGTGTATAAACAAACAGGTGGGATTTTAGATGTCATTCATAGTATGGGCACTTAGGTCCTGGTACACACACGCTTACATGTGCGAGGATCCAGTGAACAGGACACTCGATTATGGTCTCAAGTCCAGTTTTTACAGACATGCAGAGTTTCATCCAAGTGGGTTGCCTCAAACTCAGGTGTTTATTTGCATATAAAGTAAGAGCATTTATTTTCTGATTTTGCCCCTTACCTAAGCTGTGCTCCTTGCATGTAACCACTGATTTCACAACACACATCTCAGGAACCTGTCTTTATACAAAATTTCACAATGCGTGTTTTGGGCTAACCTGTTAGACTGCATATCCTTATGTATCTTGTTGTAAATAAATTCCTCTATTCAATAAATTTTTTTTATGGATAAAAAAATACCATGATGACTGCATCTTCCAAGTAAATTAATTTGGTTGCTACTTTTTATTTTAGCAGTTTCTTTGTTCCTTTTCTCCTCTTGATGCCTCCATAATTGTCCAGCGGGCTTCCATTTCTCAGACAGCTCTGGTATAGGGGTGTGCAAAGTGGGCCCTATTCAATTCGCATTTGGATTTGGCCTGAGTCAGGGACAGTGATTTGATTAGTTGATTCAGATAACTGTCCCTGATTTGATTTACCTGAATCCAAATCTGAAGATTTGATGCTGATTTGGAGAATCAGTGATTTGGCCATAGACACAGCTTTAAACATTTTTTCTACATACCTTGAGGTAGCAGGCATGGCTCCTGAACGTAGCAATGCTGGGGCACATGGAGTGTCCCACAGGAGTGGGGGGGAGGGGGGCTCCAGGTGCTCGGCAGTGAACCCGGAAGTGGATCGGAAGTACTTCTGGGTCTGCTGGGGAGCATGCTGGGCAACCCCCCCGAACCTCCCTAACTCAGCGATTGGCCATGGGGGGACCCTCAGTGCCCCCCCCAGGTGCAGAAGGCACCAGTTACTGAGCCGGGGGGGGGAGGGGGACGGCGGGAGCCCCCCAGCATGCTTCCCAGCAGACCCAGAAGTAGACTGGAAGTGCTTCTGGTCCAGTTCTGGGTCTGCTGCAGAGTGCGCTGGGGAGCCACCTGCGCTTCTGTGGGATGCTCTATGGGCCCCAGTATTGCATCACTCATGAGCCCCTGCTACCTAGAGGTACGTAGAAAAAACATTTAAAGCTGTGTCTATGTCCAAGCCTATGAATCTTTCT